CTTGAGAGTGTATGTGACTGATGGCATTAAAAGTAGGCTACTAATGCTGATTTTTGAATTGATTGTTGTAATTGAATATCATGTTTAGATCATTACTGTCAGTTATTTATTAACTAAATCTACTGTAAAAGGACAAGCTGTATTGTATGAAATGCTTGGATGTGGACATTTACGTATCACAGACTGCGCATGATAGGCTACTTTAGGTAAAAATGATTAATAATCTTAAAATAACACAAATTAATGGCGATGTATCTTCCCCGCTGCTGTAGCAGTTTTAGCAAACTGCTGTAGCAAAACACATTTTGTCCCATATGATGTCTGTTTTTATATTGTACACAATTTTTGGTGGTGTATTTTGTGATTTTCACTTGTTTGCACAGTAACTTAGACGTTCGTCTTACTTTTAACACTCAAGTACATTAAAATGTAGTACTTTTGTACTTTTACTCAAGTAATATTTGAGGGTATCTGTGCTTTTACTCAAGTACTTGATTTGTGTTCTTCGTCCACCACTGAGCTGTCAGTTCTTATGTTGGATGCAGACTGATGTTTGACATGCTGTTTAAATCCCAGGGAGATACAGCTCAGAGAGCGATGTGTGGAGTTATGGGATCCTCCTGTGGGAAACCTTCAGTCTAGGAGTGTGTCCTTACCCGGGCATGACCAACCAGCAGGCTCGAGAACAGGTCGAAAAAGGTACAAAACAAACTCCACTTTTAGTGAATGAACCAGACAGATTGATGTGATATTTAATTTTAATTACATTTGATTTATTTCTAAATGTTATTATTTTTTTGTATATTTTATTAGATTACATATTTTATTCATTAAATTATATTTTAATTAAAGGGATAGTTCACCCAAAAATGATAATTCTGTCATTAATCACTCACCCTCATGTCGTTTCAAACCCGTAAGACCTTCGTTCATCTTCGGAACACAAGTTAAGATATTTGTGATGGAATCTGAGAGCTCTCTTGACTCTGCATAGACAGCAATGCAACTGAAATGTTCCCAAGTCCAGAAACGTAGCACGGAGATCTGTAAAATAATCCGTGTGGCATCAGTGGTTCATCCGCAATTATACGAAGCTACGAAAATACTTTTTGTGTGCAAAAGAAAAAAAAAACGACTTTATTCAACAATTCGTCTTCTCTGCATCAGCCTGTAGCGCCATTTTGGAGAATATCTGCTGGATGTAAACAGCGTATGATGTTCTGTGTCAGCTGTGCCACACGGATACGCCGTTTTCGTTCAGATCAAATCACAACAACGTAAGAAACAGATCCGGCTTGACGCAGCTGACACAGAACAGCATACGCTGTCTGAGCAACAGTTAAGCTATGACAGACAAGAACGTAAGATGTATTAGGCGCATTCAGTGTGCCATTGAGTATTCCTGTGTACGCACCGGTGAAAAAGGGGGGTTGTTCACCCGAAAATGAAATTCTGTCAACATTTGCTCACCCTTATGTTGTTCCAAACCTACATATCTTTTCTTTCTTCTGTTGAACACAAAAACATTTTGAAAAACGTTTGAAGTGTTTCTGTAATTTTATAGGTGTTCGTTTGTTTTTTTTCACTGCAAAACGAATATTAGAATGTGGTTGTCTGTCAGGAATATGCATCAACTTTCAGCTATAATAGTAGCGATGAAGACCCAGAATCAATACGGCTTTAATATTTGCACATTTGGAATATGTAAAGAGAGTCCCATAGCATTGACTGTGCTTCTTTCTAGTCTGCAAGATCTTTTTTTTTTCCTCTTCACATTGTTGCCATCACTAATGCAACCAAAAGTCAATGGAGTTTGACATGCAATAAAATGCATGCGCCAATCAATCATGCAGAACTGGTGACAATATACACAAAGCTACTGTGTAATACAGTTTGGATTCGTATACCTTGCATGATTCACTAGTGAGTTCAGATAAAAATTATTTTATTTAAAAAAAAATGGGTGAAGCAGAGCTTAAAAATACTGGTAAGTGAGCTTTTTTTTTTTTTTTAAATGTCAAATCAATTATCCCTGTAGTGTGTTGTTTGAAATACTGTAATATTATTCTAGCAATTTAACCTTTTGCTTTTTTGTACCATTCACTATAATTCCTACTGTCATTGTATTAAAGCAAACGCCAGTATTGTCTCACGTTATATTGAAATTTGTGTTACACGTAGACATTACATTCCCTTTTCCATCAGAAAAATGGCTTTAGTTAGAGCAGCGATACTCTAATACATCATTCATAACTTGATTTCTTCATTTTCAAAGTATTTAACAGTAAGCAAAAGTTTCTGTTATCATTCAGATGGGCAGTTCTTCCTTCCTTGTGCTGGATTATTTATTTTGTGATGGAAAAATTTTATATATTGATTGCACTTTTGGCCTTTTTATGCTTTAAAATATCCCCTAATATAAAACAGCATTGTTGTTTCAGGAAATGATCAACACCAAACTGTCTTGAATTGATGCATCAACAAAAGTAGAAAAGCAACACTGGACGTTTAATTTTCAAACTAATGCTTTTAGAGATTTTGACCTCTGCCAGCTGAAAGAGGAAATCTGAAAAGATAAATGGTTGACATTTAGAAGGCTTAATTCCTTGTTTTCCATGTAGTTTTCATCTCTGTTTGCTCGTAACACCTCTCTGATGGACATTCAACTGTAACAATGTCTGCTCATTGTTTATATTGTACACTTGCAATAAAGTTTTTTTGAGTCTTTGAACTTGCTGATAGAAATTAATTATTAAAAGGGAGAATTGAAAGGCTCAACTGAATGATTATCTGTGTGCCTTTCTGGGATACAGTGCTTAAAGAGAAGTGCTTAACCTTCAGGAGGTCAAACTAAATATTATATGAGCTGTCTATTTAATTTAATGTTTGCAGTTATTTTCTAGCAAAAAGTGTTATTTTCATAACACAATAGACAGAAAGATACATAGACTGAGACACAGACAGACAGAGAGACGGAGACACAGAGAGACGGAGACACAGACAGACAGACACAGAGAGAGACGGAGACAGACAGAGAGAGACGGAGACACAGACAGATAGACGGAGACAGACAGATAGAGAGACGGAGACACAGAGACAGACGGAGACACAGAGACAGACAGAGAGAGACGGAGACAGACAGACAGATAGAGAGAGACGGAGACAGACAGATAGAGAGAGACGGAGACAGACAGATAGAGAGAGACGGAGACAGACAGATAGAGAGAGACGGAGACACAGAGAGAGACTGAGACACAGACAGAGCGAGACAGACAGACAGACGGAGACAGAGAGATGGAGACAGACAGAGAAGGAGACACAGACAGATATACGGAGACAGACAGATAGAGAGACGGAGACACAGACAGATATACGGAGACAGACAGACAGAGAGAGACAGAGACACAGACAGATAAGAGAAGTGCTTAACCTTCAGGAGGTCAAACTAAATATTATATGAGCTGTCTATTTAATTTAATGTTTGCAGTTATTTTCTAGCAAAAAGTGTTATTTTCATAACACAATAGACAGAAAGATACATAGACTGAGACACAGACAGATAGACAGACAGAGACAGACAGAGACACAGAGAGACGGAGACAGACAGAGAGAGACTGAGATGGAGACAGACAGAGAGAGACCGAGACAGACAGACAGACAGACACAGAGACAGACAGAGAGAGACGGAGACACAGACAGATAGACGGAGACAGACAGACAGATAGAGAGACGGAGACACAGAGACAGGCAGAGAGAGACGGAGACAGACAGACAGATAGAGAGAGACTGAGACAGACAGACAGATAGAGAGACGGAGACACAGAGAGAGACTGAGACACAGACAGAGCGAGACGGAGACAGACAGACAGAGACAGACAGATAGATAGACGGAGACAGACAGAGAGATGGAGACAGATAGAGAGAAGGAGACAGACAGATAGAGAGACGGAGACACAGACAGATATACGGAGACACAGACAGAGAGAGACACAGACAGATAGATGGAGACACAGATAGAGAGACGGAGACAGATAGAGAGATGGAGACAGACAGACAGATAGAGAGACGGAGACAGATAGAGAGATGGAGACAGACAGACAGATAGAGAGACGGAGACAGATAGAGAGATGGAGACAGACAGACAGATAGAGAGACGGAGACAGATAGAGAGATGGAGACAGACAGACAGATAGAGAGACGGAGACAGATAGAGAGATGGAGACAGGGAGACAGATAGAGAGATGGAGACAGACAGACAGAGAGAGAGACGGAGACAGACAGACAGATAGAGACAGACAGACGGAGACAGACAGACAGATAGAGAGACGGAGACAGACAGACAGATAGATAGAGAGACAGAGACAGACAGATAGAGACAGACAGACGGAGACACAGAGACAGACAGACGGAGACACAGAGAGACAGATAGAGAGACGGAGACACAGACAATGAGATGGAGACAGACAGATAGAGACGGAGACACAGACAGACATACAGTAGATAGATACATACACAGACCGATACATACATACATAGATAGATAAAGTACAAGACAAATACAAGGCTGTAAAGGAAAGCTTGTGCAGGAAGGCCTTATATGGAGAAGAGTTGGGTGTGTTTTATGCAAATTACTGCACATTTCACATACTCTATTTATTAACATTAGAACAAGGTTAAGAACAAATGAATTAGGCGGAAATTTTTTGTGAGACGTTCTGTGCATATAAATGTGAATAATCCACATAATTATTAGTGAATAAGACCCATTGTGTTTTATTGTTAAACTTGGTTTACCACCTGACACCCTATTTGTGGAAAGTGCCTACAGCTGTTCAGTACGGTTTGTCTCACTGATCATTCAGCCAATGAAATCTGCTGGAAGGTTTATATATAAAAATCTTGAGAGTCATGTTAACGGTGTCTTTCAAATATACATAAATGATCTTTGGTTTGCCAGATTCCAGTAAATAGAGTCCACAATAATACGTGATTTGGGTGGCTGCACACCTGCACCGTTCTCAGAGTATTATTCTGCAGTGATACTTTCCTCCACAGATACAAGCTGCCGCCTCTAAATAACACGACATTGAATACATGCCAACTGCCTTAGCAATAAACGGCACAAAGCCATTTCATATTTGCAGTCCCCCACCATCATATTTTCCAGTTCAGACTGTGAGCCTCTCGCACGCAGTCTTCTGGAAATTATATTGCTCCCGAAGGTGCTTTTGTGAAAACAACCTATTCAGCGGCCATCATTGGGATGATTTATACAAATATGTTTGTGAGCCACAGTGAAATATATATCGCACTGCAATTATCATTCATATCCAGCTACATGCGCTTAAATCTGGAAGTTACAATGCGGCTGAATTACCTTTGAATGGATATCTAGAGTTCAGGGTGGAAGCCACTCTGAATTGATCAAAGAAATCATTACTTGAACCAAATGTGAGCTTTTATTGAGGGATTGCATTGGAGTTTAACTTGACATGAAAAGTTAAAGACATGTAATTATGTTTAGCCAGGATGTACAAAAACATTTTAATTGAAACATGAATAAATATGCTTCCTGTGAATATATACGTATTCATATTTTCTTAGAAAATAAGTTTGTTCGCCACGTTTGGGCCATGAATTGCAGCACAAGTCACTAGGTTCAATGGAATCCGAATGCTAGTTCAGGCCGCTGCTTGCCATTTCCTTGTGAGACTGATGATTTATTATTGAAATATTTCTTTGCGGGATGTTTAGATGGGTGTACGACTGCCGTTCAACACGTTCCCCCAGACGCACTGTGACTGGATGGCAGTGTTTCTTGTTCAGAATTTAAAGACGCAGGTTCAGTCACTGCCGGGGTCAGAACGTGGCGACACACTGGACATGTGCCAGACTGAAAATCATGAAAAGAAAGTATTCGGTACATATAAAGGTCATTATAAACTTCTGCTCTTAAAGGAACAGTTCACAAAAAAAATTCTGTCATCATTTACTCACAATCATGTTTTTCCAAACCCATAAGACTGTCGAAAACACAAACTACGATATTTTTAATGAAACCTGAAAGACTACCATTCATCCATTGAAGTCCATGGGCTAGATTTACTAAAAGCAAATTAGCAGTGGAAGATGGGAGTGGAAAGTTCTGCGGGTGATTACTGAATGTGTGAATTAAAGAACACAGACAGATCATTTCCATAATGGGCGTTAAATAATAGTGCAATTACCAGTAAAACTGACTACCGCAAATCTTCGTAAATCAGGCTTGTGTGCTCTAGAGGAGATCTGCATGGAGGAATGGGCCAAAATACCAGCAACAGTGTGTGAAAACCTTGTGAAGACTTACAGAAAACGTTTGACCTCTGTCATTGCCAACAAAGGGTATATAACAAAGTATTGAGATGAAATTTTGTTATTGACCAAATACTTATTTTCCACCATAATTTGCAAATAAATTCTTTAAAAATCCTACAATGTGATTTTCTGGATTCTTTTTCTCATTTTGTCTCTCATAGTTGAGGTATACCTATGATGAAAATTACAGGCCTCTCTCATCTTTTTAAGTGGGAGAACTTGCACAATTGGTTGCGGACTAAATACTTTTTTTCCCCACTGTAGATAGATACATACACGGATAGACAGACCGATACATACATACATAAATAGATAAAGTACAAGACAAATACAAGGCTGTAAAGGAAAGCTTGTGCAGGAAGGCCTTATATGGAGAAGAGTTGGGTGTGTTTTATGCAAATTACTGCACATTTCACATACTCCATTTATTAACATTAGAACAAGGTTAAGAACAAATGAATTAGGCGGACATTTTTTGTGAGACGTTCTCGTCTGAAAGGGAAACTCCTACAAATGCATATGCAATAAGGTCAGCCACAAAAATAACTGTCTGCCCTTTCATTGCTAATTTTCCCTGTGTCTTTAGTAAATTCTGACAGTAGTTTTTAATGCAAAAATAGGGTTTGCGCTGGCACAAGCTGTTAGTAAATTTGGCCCCATGTAGCCAAAACTTTGATGCTTCAAAATCTTCATAAAGACACGTAAACATAAAATATTGCATAGGGCCTGTTTACACCTGGTCATTTCATGCGTTTTCGCTGATTGGATATCTATCGGATTTGTTCAAACGTTTCCATTTACACTTGGCCACATAAATGTGTCATCGCAAAATGAATAATACGATCTTCAATTCCCACGCTATATTTAAATTGAACGGAGTTCACGTCAAAAAAATCAAAAGATAAGTGCTGCATTTGATTAATTATCAGCTAATTTCAAGATCAAAGACAGCAATAGGAGAGCGCGCGGCATCAGCACTGGAAAGATAAGTTTGTCTTACTACTTTTAATGAAGATGATTGTGTGTTGACCGTCTGCGTCTTACTTTAATTCGCGGCAGTTTGCACGTCGGCTTGCTGAAGCGATACTCAGCTACTCGTCCACTGTGATGCGTGTTGCATTAGCGTAGTCATATCTGACGCTCTCACACGTTTATTATTTTAACATTTTGGGAGGAGAAAAATTTGCGTATGTAGTTTCAACAACTAGATGCATTTACACTTGTCCAGTTTCGTCTGGAATGCGGCCCAGACCACCTCCTGAAGTGGTTTGAGCGATCGGATTTATATCAGTCTCAAATGCGTTTCGGAAGGCATTTACACCTGGCCTTTTCACGATCGGATGGCCATCCGATCAGACAAAATGCATGAAGTGACCAGGTGTAAACAGCCCCATAGAATCATAGGCTGCGTTTACACTTGGCATTAACATGTGATCACAGTGATCTGATCAAGCAGATCGGATCATCAGTCAATCAAGACACGGCACGTTTACACTTGGTAACATCAACTGACTTCTCGATCGGATCTGTATTTCCCGCGCAATATTTAAATAAGTCTGCGGTGCAAAGTCGACCTGAAGTGGTGGGTTTTCTTTTGAAAACCATTTTCAGTCGCGGGACATTTTACAAATCCCAAAAAATTAGGAGGATGAGGAGGCTGCAGTTATTAATAAGGTGGATATATTCCGTTGTGGAAACAGTAAAAAGAAACATTTCTTCCGACAGTTCGTGAGAGAGGGGGCGGGGTTTTGCGTGACATCCACCTGCGAATGCAGACAAGATGGCTGGATTGCATTTACATTACACTGAGATCCGATCACAATGCGTCCTCCACCTACCTCTGGACCAGGACACACTGATCGGATAACATTCCGATCAGAAGCACGTTTACACTTGTCTTTTCAATGTGTATGTAGACAACATCCGGATACAGGTCGCATGTTAATGCCAAGTGTAAACGCAGCCATATATGGTCATCGAAAGCTCAAACGTGCTTGCCTGACATGCATTTGTGTCGTGCATTAAGCTTCCATGTTCACCATAAATGATGAGCTCAATTTGTGTGTAGATAAATAAATTATATACTTAAAAGTTTATAGAAATACCTAAATTGAATCTCTTCATTATATAAAATGATAATGACTATTCAAAAGACTTGGATGCATATGGATTACCTTTACAATACAGTCTTTTTGGACTTTCTAATGCGTCAAAGTTTTGGTTGCATGGACTTTCAATGGATGCACAAAAACAATGAGAGAATATTGAGTTTCTTTATTCACGTTCTAAATTAACGAAAATCAAACAAGTAGGAATTAAAATGGGAGGAAAATGATGACAGAATGTTAATTTTTGGGTGAAATAACCATTTAATTTTTTTTGTCTCTTTCACAACCTCCAAGAAAAACAGCATTACCTTTCTGAGCCAGAGAGTGACACAGAGTTTATGGAACATGTGGCGGCACGGCAGCTGGGTTGCAATCTCATCTTTGACATATTCACAACAGCAGATGGCACAGCACTGCTCCTGCTCTGCAGAACCAAAGAGAGTGTGCATGTGAATGCATGCAAAAGGTTCAGCTTGTAAACCTATGACACCAATCCAAATATTTAAACATGTCTTGATCCAGTCACGCACACATCAAATTATTCATTTCAGTCATTAGGGCTGAAACTGAAGTCATTTTATGCTTTCCAAAGCAGATTTATCGCCCCAAATGCACTCAGGCCATAAAGTTGAAGTGGGCATTAGTGTGAGAGCATAATTTTCCTGGCATTCATCCCGTGTGTTGAGTTTTGTGAAAAATATTTCTCATCTGGTGCTCGTATTGCACTAAAAAACGAGTACACAAAGTATTTCAAGTTAATCACTTAGAGGTGATGAGTTTGGTTTCAGTGTCTGTCAGTGTGTCTCACACACACACACTACAATTTCCCAAAACTGAGAAACAGGAAGGCAAATTATGTAAATAGTACAACCATGTAAACTCACACCCTGTTCATACCACTCCTATAGAGGCTTTAATATCCCTCTTGACTGTAATATCAGTTCACTGTGTTATACAGTAGTGTATACAATTGCTGTATTCTTAAATGTTCATGTCTGTTCTGACCTGTTATGAACACTTACAATGTAAAGCTGTATGTAGTGTTGGAATTGACCCTTCCCCAGGAGTTTGATTGACAGGCGTTCTGACTAATCATAATGCAGAATCTGACATTTTGTCTGACAAACCAGACAGGAGAGTAGATTAACATCAGTGGACTTGAAATGGCGTGCACTGACGTCTTTCTGAAGTTGAAACAAGATACCTTCTGATGTTAATTCGTGCTGTAACTAGTAAAGAGGAAGAGATGATCGATTCACGTGCTGCTTGAACTGAGGCACTACAGCAATCAGTTACAAACCTGTATTTGTTGTTTGAATTTCTTAAATGACCAAATTTGAAAGGGGAGACATTAGGCGCGTTTCCATTACCCTTCAAATTGCGCAAATTGAAATTGCGAATTGAAAATACGCCTAATGGAAACGCCCATATATCGCAAAACAAGTTTACACGCTCGCATGAGGTGGTTTTTCAGGCAATGCGAAAAAGAAATAATTCGCAAAACTGCAATGGAAACAACTTTTTTTGCATTTACAGGTCACATGGCGTATGTAAAAAGTCATATGATCATTCTTCAATGTACTATAACCTCCAAGAAACACTTCATAAGTGGCCACGCTCCAGTATAAGGGGCTTTTCCCTACTATTAATGCTTAGACAATTTACACGGCACAAATCTGCGGTGCAGTAGGCGCGTTTCCATTACAGATTTGCGCAAAACTTTGGCGATATTTTATAAATGTCGATAAAAAAGTATTGCGAAATGACGGTGTTTCCATTAACCAATGTTATGAGACTTAAACATAACCCTTTGCCTCTCGCGATAAGTCATGGCAATGGATTTTGGTGGGATTCTGGCTATATTTATTCAAAGGCAGCTTATGCTTGTATCTTTACAGAAGCAGCAAAGAGAAACGTACGTGGCGCGGCTGGAATAAACCATAGACTGTATAAAAACCATTAACACAAGCATTGAGTGGCCGCAATCAGCTTCAGTGACCGTATCAGAGCCACACTACACCGCAGACGTGTGCAGTGTAAATTGTCTAAGCATTAATGGTAGAGAAAGCCCCTGGAGCACGGCCACTTATGAATTGTTTCTTGGAGGTTATTGAAGAATAACGATCATTGAAGAACGATCATATGACTTTTTACATACGCCATGTGACCTGTAAATGCGAAAAAGCCATTTCTATTGCAGTTTTGCAAATTTTTCCTTTATCGCATTGCCTGAAAAACCACCTCATGCGAGCGTAAACTTTTTTGCGATATATGGACGTTTTTGCGAAATTGACGCGTTTCCATTAGGCGTATTTTCAATTAGCAATTTCAATTTGCGTAATTTGAAGGGTAATGGAAACGTGCCTAGTAGTGTGGCTCTGATACGGTCCATTACCCTTCAAATTGTGCAAATTTAAATTGCGAATTGAAAATACGCCGCGCGACGCACGTTTCTGAAGCGGCTCTCTGTGCTGCTTCTGTAAAGATACACGCATACGCCGCCTTTGAATAAATATAGCCAAAATCCGTCAAAATCACACCAAAATCCGTTGCCATGACTTATCGCGAGAGCAAAAGGTTACGTTTTAGCCACATAACATTGGTTAATGGAAACGCCGTCATTTCACAATACTTTATCGACATTCAGAAAATATCGCCAAAGTTTTGCGCAAATCTGTAATGGAAAGCGCCTAAAATTTTTTCATACCAAAAGTAACCTGCTCGGTCTTGTCTGTCGGTGCTTTGTCAGTGACCTCTGAGATGTATTTTTGTGAAAACATGAAGTGTGGCGTGAGAGCGCCATGGCTTGACATACATAGTAACAATAACTAAGGGGGCGGGTCTTTGCAAAGGGTCAATTAATAGCTGCTCATGTCCTCAAACTCAGAAATTGCCCATTTGACATTGCTCATAAAGCCATATATATATCTCAAAATCATATACAGTACGTGTCAAAATTAGCATGTTAACGCATGCTATACATTTTTCAGTTTAGCACGTTAAAAATATTTAACGCAATTAACGCAGGAGCGGAGCCACGGTTGGCCACCCCACTCACAACTGCTGCTTCTGTCTCTTTCTCGACAAGAACTGTGTTCATTTAGATGCAGAACGTCTTTACCATCACATCAAACAAGTGACCTTTCAGACGCGCACTGCAACTTTACCTCAGCGCCAGGCGCGAGTCAAACGAGCGCGGAAAAGGTACAGGTGATGAGGAGCTTCAGAGTGCTCTACAACTGCACATTCAAATGCAGTGGCGTGCGCTGTATATCACTTCATATTAAAGTGCAAATGAAACTACGAGCATGCAATGCCAAAGTTATGTCATCAGTTAAGTAACGAAGTTACTAAATTTGATTAAAGCTGCCTTAAAATTGTGCATGCATGCAAGTATTTGTTATATTTGAGTCACATTTAAGAACATGTAGTGGTTTACAAAACTGTTCTGGAGCAGCCCAGCACTGTCTCTAAATAATCACTCAATAATACTGTATTGTTGAATGGCTATATCCAATGGTTAAATACATAATTTGAATTATGTTTCAAATTCACACTGAATGCATTAATGACTGATAATCGAAATGGCAAAATTGATAAAAGGAATCGCGATAGGTTTTTTTTGTCCATATAGCACAGCCCTAATAAATATAAAAATTTAAGGGGGTCTGAATACTTTCCGTACCCACTGTATATCTCAAAATCATATACAGTACGTGTCAAAATTAGCATGTTAACGCATGCTATACATTTTTCAGTTTAGCACGTTAAAAATGTTTAACGCAATTAACGCAGGAGCGGAGCTACGGTTGGCCACCCCACTCACAACTGCTGCTTCGGTCTCTTTTTCTCGACAAGAACTGTGTTCATTTAGATGCAGAACGTCTTTACCATCACATCAAACAAGTCACCTTTCAGACGCGCACTGCAACTTTACCTCAGCGCCAGGCGCGAGTCAAACGAGCGCGGAAAAGGTACAGGTGATGAGGAGCTTCAGAGTGCTCTACAACTGCACATTCAAATGCAGTGGCGTGCGCTGTATATCACTTCATATTAAAGTGCAAATGAAACTACGAGCATGCAATGCCAAAGTTATGTCATCAGTTAAGTAACGAAGTTACTAAAAAGTTGATTAAAGCTGCCTTAAAACTGTGCATGCATGCAAGTATTTGTTATATTTGAGTCACATTTAAGAACATGTAGTGGTTTACAAAACTGTTCTGGAGCAGCCCAGCACTGTCTCTAAATAATCACTCAATAATACTGTATTGTTGAATGGCTATATCCAATGGTTAAATACATAATTTGAATTATGTTTCAAATTCACACTGAATGCATTAATGACTGTAAAGCATGTCTGTGTGTCAAAATCATAATTATAATCGAAATGGCAAAATTGATAAAAGAAAATCGCGATAGGTTTTTTTTGTCCATATAGCACAGCCCTTCAGTTTTTCTTTTTTAATAAATCTGCAAAAATGTCAACAATTCTGTGTTTTTCTGTCAATATGGGGTGCTGTGTGTACATTAATGAGGGGAAAAAATTAACTTAAATGATTTTAGCAAATGGCTGCAATATAACAGTGAAAAATTTAAGGGGGTCTGAATACTTTCTGTACCCACTGTATATACATACATACATACACACACACTCTTTCTAAATGCATGATTATTGATATTATGATAATCGATACATCCATGGATTTTTTTTAAAGCTTGATTGAGCGTAATTTCTATTAAAAAAGTTAATCAATCAAAAACTTGATCTGCCACTGGAACAGCCAACTTCCCTCTGGTGACATATGCCAGACTTCTCCAATAATAAAGTATGCTTAAACCCCATAAAATAATGCTGCGTAAAATAATGTATTCCTTATTTGTTTTTACTGATCTTCTACTAAACACAGAGTCTGTCTGAAATCACATTGTTTGAGCAGATTAAAACTGTATACAGTACTATAAGACACTTGCTGACTGCAGATTTGTATTTTGTGCACTTTATGTAGCTACAAGTAAAGGCAGTAATACCAGTGTTTTCGGCATTCATGGTGATCTGGGGTAGGCAGTCGATGGTCTGTTCGGTGGCGGGGGGATGAGCCTGCTCCACATCTATAGCTAAAGACTCCAGATGAGCCAGTGCTGCCTGCAACACAACAAAACACATTAGCATATTTAATTTCCCCTGGATAAAGATAGAAGCAAGTTAATTATACATTAAGCCTTACATTGCCAGTGTGCTCTCTCATTGGCTGAAATCAATGGAGTCTGCTGGGGTTTAACAACATCAGTCAGCAACTGATTCCAATTTCTTAATATTGTCTTTTTAGATGAATTAAGATGGATCATTTATTTGTATAACTTAGCTGCTCATGTAAACAATATTTATGTTAATGAAAAAGCAGCATACATTACGGAAGACTACTACGCTTTCATCTCATTAAGACATGAACAATAATTAAACTAAATGACATCTTGAGACTCCATTTAATTATGACCATTAATTAAATTGGTCCAGATGAAGTATAAAAGAAGCTATACTTCATTAAAAAAAAATACTCATCTGACTCTTAAAACACTCTTGGTAACATCAAAACCTAATATAGTTAGACTGCACAGTGACCCAAACGGCGATATTACAATACTAAGGAAGCAATACAGACTCCCTTCAGTTTGGTAAGTATTTCAATATATGTTTTATGCTAGAGCTGCATGATTAATCTAAATAAAACCGTAATCGCAGTATGGCTTAGTGCAATTATCAAATGGCAAAGGCTGTGATTAAATTAAAATAAATATATATATATATATATATATGCGGTGTGTTTCATAGTGAAGCGTTGCATGGTGTTCTCCATCGAACTCCATCTCTGCATCTGCTCCGAGTTTAGGTCAGTTATAACATGCATTAAGGAACGCAACATGCACCATCCATCTTCTCATACTTGTAATTAGAAGCACTTACAAACAAAAGAGAAGCTTTAAAGGCTCCTTAACTTTCACATGTAAAACTACCGAACTTTTAATTAAAACAGCCATAAATTAGTACTGTCATTTGAAATATTTTTATTATTTTTCTACTGTAAACTGTAATGAAGCAGAGATCAGGGAGCTCCTCGCTATCCGCGCTGAAGCAGAGATAGTTTGCCAGCTTAGTGGAACATTACGCGTCACATCGTAATGGGTCTTTACAGGATGTGTGTGAATGCACACACAGATTCCGGAAAACCACTGGCAGTGTGAATGAACCAAAATCAAACGATCCCGAGACAAATCACAGAACACATTATCTGTGTATTTTCAGGAATCTCTGGGTGAAAGGGACTTTATAGCATCCAAGCGAAAGATAACACCAACATGTCAGAAAAAAAACTTCCAATCCAATACAGCTCACCATCCAAGTAACAGCATTCCTCCAGTAAAGCATGGAGGTGGTAATATCCTGTTATGGGCTGTTTCTCTGCAGCAGGGACTGGAGCACTTGTCAGGACAGAAGGAAAAATGGATGGGGCAAAATACCATCAAATTCTTGAGGAAAATCTGCTGCCCTCTGCCAGAAAGTTGTCAATGGGAAGAAGGTTTACCTTCCAACAGTGATTCTTTTCTATACCCATTGTATATAGATGTTTCAAAACTCACAAATTAAAAAAAAAAAATCGCAATCAAAATTTTCAGCAGGAAAAAAAGAAAAACAATGCTGCAATATAACAAAGAGTGAAAAATGTAAGGGGGTCTGAATACTTTCCGTACCCACTGTATATATGTTTCTAAACTCAATTTAAATTGTGATCAAAAAAAGAAAAAAAGAAAACCATACAATCAATCCCCACCCCCCCCAACAAGTTGTGCAAACCAAGTTTATGCAACAGTGCAGAGGTCCCTCACCTCCATAGCCTGAGCAAGACGCTCCTCTAATGCCATGTAAGTAAGGAGCTGGGAATGATCCACGTAAGAGATTGCTTGAGCCATCCCAAAACCATCACCAAATTCATCCAGGAACCTGAAAAACAAAGGCCTTTAAAATACAGCCTCTCTCTTAGTCGGCGTGTCATGTTGCATCCAACACATTAAAATAGTTCTTATTGTAATATATGATAGTAAATACATTTCATCAACATTTTAAATATTTTTGGCTTTTATCTGTGGGGTGAATCTCATGAACACATGGCATGTTTCACCCAAAATTCTGGATTTATTTTTTATTTTTTAATAAAGAAATGCAGCCTATTTTTTAGGGCAGTGATATATTTTTATGACAAGTACATTTTCCTTTCAAATTCTCATTATTATAATGCGTAATGATTGTATTATTACAGTAAAAAAAAGGCATTATTATTAGTTGAATCTACATAAATTCAAATGAGTACAATAAAAACTATCATGAATAAGACGGAGAATGATTTTCTTGAATTACGGTAATGAGAATGAAAATAAAATATCACAATCGCAAAAAAAAAAAAAAAAATCTAAAAAATTTTTTTTAATAGGGGTTTTATAGGGACATGTTCCTGACATGTTTCATGAGATTTACTCCGTGAGAGTTAAAGGATATCATGACATTACATTGTTTTTATTATTATTATTATTTGATCTATAAGGTTTATTGACCTCCATTCTGTGTCCAGGTCTTCACTCATGCTGGAATCATCCTCCAGGTTATTGTTGCCATCCAGAATAAAGAGTCCAGGGTGCACAAACTGACTGACACCATCGGGATCTTCATCACTGCTGCTGCCCGAGTCCTCATTATACATGAGCCAGGGGATCTCGCCCTCCTCCAGAGGGGTCTGCTCCCTGAAGAACACCACACACAGACACAGCAGAAAAATACAGGTTCATGCAGTTAATAGGGATTTTAAATATTTAAATTAACCTGACATTGCATTTCAATCTATTCCTGGTGACCAAAGATATCAGAATAATAGCAGTAGCACATGTGTCTGTGTTCCATATGTACACCACGGCTGTAGACAGACTCATTTGTCAGTAAATGATGGGCATTAATCAAGTCCAGATAAGTGGCCTACCCAGACAACATTTTATTTGTGCCATATGTGCGTGACCCTAGTTAACTCAATACATGCCCATGATGCCCAAAAATGTGATCAGTAAGGCAGCTCACTGAGCTTTCATAACTACTACTATTAAAACTAACATACTGAGTAATGAGTATGATTAGGTTTAATTAGGTTTTTGTAGCTGAATACAGGGGAAAAGCCACAAAAATATACAATACAGTTGCAGAGAGACAAGAAGTGATAGGGAGAGGGAATGCACAGTCTTCAGTATCTAAAATAAATTTTAAAAAAAAACTTAAAAATACTCGTCTTTGTCAATGGGATGTGAGCGGAGTAATAATGTTATCCAAAGTATTATTAAAGTGTTTAGAGCAGGGGTGTCCAAACTCGGTGCTGGAGGGCCGGTGTCCTGCTGAGTTTAGCTCCAACTTGCCTCAACACACCTGCCTGGAAGTTTCTAGCATGCTTAGTAAGATCTTGATTAGCTGGTTCACGTGTGTTTGATTAGGGTTGGAGCTAAACTCTGCAGGACACCGGCCCTCAAGGACCGAGTTTGGACACCACTGGTTTTGAGTTTGTTAGAGGATGTGTGCTTACTCTAACGCGAGGTTGAGAGAAGGCACTTCCTCCAGACTGCTGCTGCTGCCAGGCGGCTCATCCATGCCAGGCAGCGTCTCCCAGCTTTCTTCACTTGTGCACCTCTCCTTCTCCAGCCCAGAGTCAGATGTCCACGAGGCCGACCACTCGCCCTCGCTGAATTCTGAGCTGCTGCTTAGAACACAGAGCAGGTTACACGCACAAACACACGTGAGCCCACCTCGTAAAAGTCAATCTAATCCTCTTAGCTGAAGATCCTTAGCATGCGGAACGAGCACCCACTGAGAGCCCCTTTGGCACCTCGCTCATTTCCTGCTGAGTGCATACCTTATCAAGCATTCACAGTAAACGCCCAAGCTCATGCTTGACTTCAATTATGAGGATTTGTATTTAATTTTTTTATTTAAATGGGCTATCAAATAGAGCTTGAAACTCAGTTCAAATTTAGTTCTTTCTTAAAGGTTCCATGAAAAGAGGGGCTTAACCTTCCGAAAATGAGGTTTGACCACCTGACTTTAACTATTTAAGTTAAAATATTTAGCAATTTTGTAATTTTCTATAAATAAGCAAACAAGCATTAAATAGTGCAAATACTTACAAAATGTAAATATGTATCTTTAATATCATTTGTAACAGGGTTGAATTGTTGAGCTTGATGAATACATTCAGCAGGTCATGTGATGTAAAAATGGAGAAAACTTAGAGTGCATTTACTTCCCACAATGCTATAGAAGTATCTAAATATCTAATATCTAAAATGTCACAAAATAGGTAACAGGGTTGCACAAAATGTGGGACCCAAATATTGTGCTTTTGTTTATTAGAATTTAAAAAATTAATTTAAAAAAATCAACAAAAGTATTACGTTTGGGGTCATTACAATTTGCATACCCTTATTCAGCAAGGACGCGCATTAAATTGATCAAAAGTAACAGTGAAGACTGAACATTTGTCTATAATATTGCTAAATATTTCTATTTCAAATGGATGCTGTTCTTTTGAACAGTCTATTCAAAGAATCCTGAAAAACAAATGTACCTCAGCTTTGAGAAAAATATTAAGTAGCACATTGATAATAACAAAAAATATGTCTTGAGCACCAAATCAGTATATTAAAATGATTTCTGAAGAATCATATGACATTGAAGACTGGGGTAATGATGCTGAAAATTCAGCTTTGCATTGTAGGAATAAATTACATTTTAAAATATGTTCAAATAGAAAATAGTTATTTCAAATTGCAATAATATTTCACAACATTACAGTTTGTACTATAATTTTTGATTGAACAAATGTAGCCTTGGTGAGCATAAAAGACCGTTTTCAAAAGCATTAAACAATTTACCAACCCCATTTTTTTAACAGTAGTGTTTATACCATCTAAAGATTTTCTTCCATTACCATGTAAATAAAATGAAAAGGGTGATATGACATCAATTTGCACCCCAATTAGGAAAAGTGCAATAGTATAACCACTAGAATCTCATCACACCAACTGTTGTATTGACCACTGGCACTGTAGCAGAAGATCTTTATATATATATTATATATATATATATATACACACATACAATTATTCTGTACAAAGTAATTCTGTAAAAAATTTAACACATCGAGATAAATGCAATACATACTGTACCTTTCATCACCCTTTGTAGATGGGTCACATTTCTCTCCAAAATACTCCAGATCTTCCCAGATCTCATTATCATCATCCTCATTTTTCCTGTCCTCAGAGTTGAGGTCACTCAAGGCCATGGGAGGAAAATCAAAGAGGAACTCATTTTCAGGGCTTGTTTGTGCGAGGAAACCCGGAGGTGCCGAGCCACACTTGTTTCTGACCGCTAAGCCTGACAAATGGCTTGCTTCCTCTTTTTCTGAACCTTTCCTCATTTCAAGGTGAGTCTCGCTCGTCTGTTTGCGGATCTTTGGCCTCACGACCATTTCGGACTGAAATGTTTCTTCAGGGTTGGTTTTCCCTGTGTTTTTATAGGAAGCGGGCGCAGAGCTGGCCGTAACCCCATGACATTTTGGAGCTTGGTCTTCACCAACCAACAACGGACTAACTTTGTTATTTGCTTTTACAGTTCTTTCAAAACCTGGTTCCTCACAGCAAAGGTCTGCTGCGCTTTTAGAAGGTGCTATTTGCACTGAATGTTTACTTATTTTTGAAAATACATTAGGATGTGAATCCTCAAGTGAATTTCCATCCAGTTCACAAATGCCATCAAGTCTCTTCTGAGCAGCCTGAGATGGGTTTAAACACAAGTCCTCCTCTTCAGCGCCGCTACTGTCAGGCTCATAGGCATCAATGTTGATGTAACTCAGAGCTTCTGGGTTGGGCTTCGGGTCTTCACTGATGGGCCACACTCTAGCATGTTCACTTTTTTCCATACCAGAATAATATTTTCTGTCATATGGCACAACCTGGTCACTCTTTGGTCTCTTGAAATGGTTCGAGGGTGCTTTTGTGACTCTACACAATAATGACTGCCTCCTGTTGTGTCCCTCCTGATTTGATGCAGCATTTAACTCTGGGCACACTGCATTTGTGCATGCCGTCGGAAGGATAGTCTGAAGCACTGAAGGAATGTTGCTCTTTGATGCTATAGAGGAAAAAATTTTCAGTTAGGCCTATCACTCTTGCTCCTTCACTGGATAAGTCAATTGTTTTGTGTATATAAGGAAGCAAGCATACTAGCAAGTCTATTTTTCTTATTGAATTATTATTATTATTTGATCTATAAGGTTCATTGACCTCCATTCTGTGTCCAGGTCTTCACTCATGCTGGAATCATCCTCCAGGTTATTGTTGCCATCCAGAATAAAGAGTCCAGGGTGCACAAACTGACTGACACCATCAGGATCGTCATCACTGCTGCTGCCCGAGTCCTCATTATACATGAGCCAGGGGATCTCGCCCTCCTCCAGAGGGGTCTGCTCCCTGAAGAACACCACACACACAGACACAGCAGAAAAATACAGGTTCATGCAGTTAATAGGGATTTTAAATATTTAAATTAACCTGACATTGCTTTTCAATCTATTCCTGGTGACCAAAGATATCAGAATAATAGCAGTAGCACATGTGTCTGTGTTCCATATGTACACCACGGCTGTAGACAGACTCATTTGTCAGTAAATGATGGGCATTAATCAAGTCCAGATAAGTGGCCTACCCAGACAACATTTTATTTGTGCCATATGTGCGTGACCCTAGTTAACTCAATACATGCCCATGATGCCCAAAAATGTGATCAGTAAGGCAGCTCACTGAGCTTTTATAACTACTACTATTAAAACTAACATACTGAGTAATGAGTATGATTAGGTTTAATTAGGTTTTTGTAGCTGAATACAGGGGAAAAGCCACAAAAATATACAAGACAGTTGCAGAGAGACAAGAAGTGATAGGGAGAGGGAATGCACAGTCTTCAGTATCTAAAATAAATTTTAAAAAAAAACTTAAAAATACTCGTCTTTGTCAATGGGATGTGAGCGGAGTAATAATGTTATCCAAAGTATTATTAAAGTGTTTAGAGCAGGGGTGTCCAAACTTTCTTCAGTATCTAAAATAAATCAAAAAAAAAAAAAAAACTTAAAAATACTTGTCTTTGTCAATGGGATGTGAGCGGAGTAATAATGTTATCCAAAGTATTATTAAAGTGTTTAGAGCAGGGGTGTCCAAACTCGGTGCTGGAGGGCCGGTGTCCTGCTGAGTTTAGCTCCAACTTGCCTCAACACACCTGCCTGGAAGTTTCTAGCATGCTTAGTAAGATCTTGATTAGCTGGTTCACGTGTGTTTGATTAGGGTTGGAGCTAAACTCTGCAGGACACCGGCCCTCAAGGACCGAGTTTGGACACCACTGGTTTTGAGTTTGTTAGAGGATGTGTGCTTACTCTAACGCGAGGTTGAGAGAAGGCACTTCCTCCAGACTGCTGCCAGGCGGCTCATCCATGCCAGGCAGCGTCTCCCAGCTTTCTTCACTTGTGCACCTCTCCTTCTCCAGCCCAGAATCAGATGTCCACGAGGCCGACCACTCGCCCTCGCTGAATTCTGAGCTGCTGCTTAGAACACAGAGCAGGTTACACGCACAAACACACGTGAGCCCACCTCGTAAAAGTCAATCTAATCCTCTTAGCTGAAGATCCTTAGCATGCGGAACGAGCACCCACTGAGAGCCCCTTTGGCACCTCGCTCATTTCCTGCTGAGTGCATACCTTATCAAGCATTCACAGTAAACGCCCAAGCTCATGCTTGACTTCAATTATGAGGATTTGTATTTAATTTTTTTATTTAAATGGGCTATCAAATAGAGCTTGAAACTCAGTTCAAATTTAGTTCTTTCTTAAAGGTTCCATGAAAAGAGGGGCTTAACCTTCCGAAAATGAGGTTTGACCACCTGACTTTAACTATTTAAGTTAAAATATTTAGCAATTTTGTAATTTTCTATAAATAAGCAAACAAGCATTAAATAGTGCAAATACTTACAAAATGTAAATATGTATCTTTAATATCATTTGTAACAGGGTTGAATTGTTGAGCTTGATGAATACATTCAGCAGGTCATGTGATGTAAAAATGGAGAAAACTTAGAGTGCATTTACTTCCCACAATGCTATAGAAGTATCTAAATATCTAATATCTAAAATGTCACAAAATAGGTAACAGGGTTGCACAAAATGTGGGACCCAAATATTGTGCTTTTGTTTATTAGAATTTAAAAAATTAATTAAAAAAAATCAACAAAAGTATTACGTTTGGGGTCATTACAATTTGCATACCCTTATTCAGCAAGGACGCGCATTAAATTGATCAAAAGTAACAGTGAAGACTGAACATTTGTCTATAATATTGCTAAATATTTCTATTTCAAATGGATGCTGTTCTTTTGAACAGTCTATTCAAAGAATCCTGAAAAACAAATGTACCTCAGCTTTGAGAAAAATATTAAGTAGCACATTGATAATAACAAAAAATATGTCTTGAGCACCAAATCAGTATATTAAAATGATTTCTGAAGAATCATATGACATTGAAGACTGGGGTAATGATGCTGAAAATTCAGCTTTGCATTGTAGGAATAAATTACATTTTAAAATATGTTCAAATAGAAAATAGTTATTTCAAATTGCAATAATATTTCACAACATTACAGTTTGTACTATAATTTTTGATTGAACAAATGTAGCCTTGGTGAGCATAAAAGACCGTTTTCAAAAGCATTAAACAATTTACCAACCCCATTTTTTTAACAGTAGTGTTTATACCATCTAAAGATTTTCTTCCATTACCATGTAAATAAAATGAAAAGGGTGATATGACATCAATTTGCACCCCAATTAGGAAAAGTGCAATAGTATAACCACTAGAATCTCATCACACCAACTGTTGTATTGACCACTGGCACTGTAGCAGAAGATCTTTATATATATATTATATATATATATATATACACACATACAATTATTCTGTACAAAGTAATTCTGTAAAAAATTTAACACATCGAGATAAATGCAATACATACTGTACCTTTCATCACCCTTTGTAGATGGGTCACATTTCTCTCCAAAATACTCCAGATCTTCCCAGATCTCATTATCATCATCCTCATTTTTCCTGTCCTCAGAGTTGAGGTCACTCAAGGCCATGGGAGGAAAATCAAAGAGGAACTCATTTTCAGGGCTTGTTTGTGCGAGGAAACCCGGAGGTGCCGAGCCACACTTGTTTCTGACCGCTAAGCCTGACAAATGGCTTGCTTCCTCTTTTTCTGAACCTTTCCTCAATATACATAATTATCATGCACAAAGTTGTACAATTCATTAAACTAAATGGAAATACATGCAGTACTGTACCTCTCATCACCCTTTGTAGATGGGTCACATTTTTCTCCAAATTTCTCCAGATCTTCCCAGATCTCATCATCCTCCTCCTCATCTACTTTGGCGTTATCGTCACCCTCATTTTTTCTGTCCTCAGAGTTGAGGTCACTCAAGGCCATGGGTGGAAAGTCAAAGAGCGACTCATTTTCAGGGCTTGTTTGTGTGAGGAAACCCGGAGGTGCTGAGCCACACTTGTCTCTGACCGCTGCGCCTGACAAATGGCTTACTTCCTCTTTTTCTGAACGTTTCCTCCTTTCAAGGTGAGTCTCGCTCGTCTGTTTGCGGATCTTTGGCCTCACGACCATTTCGGACTGAAATGTTTCTTCAGGGTTGGTTTTCCCTGTGTTTTTATAGGAAGCGGGCGCAGAGCTGGCCGTAACCCCATGACATTTTGGAGCTTGGTCTTCACCAACCAACAACGGACTAACTTTGTTATTTGCTTTTACAGTTCTTTCAAAACCTGGTTCCTCACAGCAAAGGTCTGCTGCGCTTTTAGAAGGTGCTATTTGCACTGAATGTTTACTTATTTTTGAAAATACATTAGGATGTGAATCCTCAAGTGAATTTCCATCCAGTTCACAAATGCCATCAAGTCTCTTCTGAGCAGCCTGAGATGGGTTTAAACACAAGTCCTCCTCTTCAGCGCCGCTACTGTCAGGCTCATAGGCATCAATGTTGATGTAACTCAGAGCTTCTGGGTTGGGCTTCGGGTCTTCACTGATGGGCCACACTCTAGCATGTTCACTTTTTTCCATACCAGAATAATATTTTCTGTCATATGGCACAACCTGGTCACTCTTTGGTCTCTTGAAATGGTTCGAGGGTGCTTTTGTGACTCTACACAATAATGACTGCCTCCTGTTGTGTCCCTCCTGATTTGATGCAGCATTTAACTCTGGGCACACTGCATTTGTGCATGCCGTCGGAAGGATAGTCTGAAGCACTGAAGGAATGTTGCTCTTTGATGCTATAGAGGAAAAATTTTTCAGTTAGGCCTATCACTCTTGCTCCTTCACTGGATAAGTCAATTGTTTTGTGTATATAAGGAAGCAAGCATACTAGCAAGTCTATTTTTCTTATTGAAGTGAATTAGAATGAGATTTTAATCAATTCAATCATTCATTTTAATCAAATGTTGTTGCGGTTTTCATTTGGTTTAGGGGTGAAATAAGACCTGGGCATTCCTTAACAGTCAGAAACCGAAAACCATTTAAAAGTACTTTCTACCCACCCTCACCATTCTCGTATATATTTGCATAATAAAGATAGATAGTCTCCTACAGGGTTTCAGTCTACACCTTTTAAAGGTGATAAATGCTTCACTCTAAAGCAGAAAAACCCACACACGCATATTTCAGCTCTTCAAAACTCCTGTTACTGTACATTCCCAATATTACAAAGCCATTTATTCACCACGAGAACCTCAATCTCAAAATTCGTTCCTCCACTTTTGTTGCTCAAAGACTTCCAGTTACTCCAGACTTGTTTCCTGAAGTTTGTAATTTTAACATAACATAATAATATTATAAAAAAAAGTGGCACTTTCAAAACACTGCCTTGTTTGTTTGGCATTGGCTTGGCTTGAGTTTGGGGTGGGACTATGAGTTTTTCAACCAATAGCAGTCATTCATTTTGCAAATCCGTTTTTGTTACATTTGTGGTGAGAAAATTACACACTTGGGCTTTAATGTTGAGTATCTCTTTAGTTTCATCATCCACTAAGGGTTTCCCTCACCAGCTGCTACGTACCCAACGCCGGGTCCTTTCGACTACTCGTCCTCTCCTTGTTTTGACAGTCCTCAGTGGATGCGACTCTTTGTTTATCTGTAACAGGCCGGAAACTGATATACGCATGTCTCCGGCCGTATCTCCTGCCTGAGATGGTCTGGTATCCTCCTGCTGGTTTGGGCCACGCAGACTTGCCTGCTTCTTGACCCATTCCTACAAGAAACAGAAAATTCACATCATGAACAATAACTAAAGATAAAACCATAACTATATTGCCGTCCACACCAACCCGAGATAACGTTCTGTTTATTATAAGTGTGCACTGCAGTTATGTAATCTGCCACTTTAAATGCTCAAGCTCTTTGAAGTCAGATAGATTCTGATTGCCTGTTAATGCTTTTATTGGTCATCAGTTGAAAAAAAAAAATTATTCTTCCAACTATATCATTCCTATTCTCAAAGAATCAGAATGATTATTAAAACTCTGTAGTTAGAATTAGAGCCCGACCGATATATAGTTTTGCCGATATTATCGGCCGATATGAGCCTGTCGCCGATATATCGGTAATAGCGAATATTTTTTTACAGAACATATAACGCAGATAAAATGCTCGAAATGGTGTAATTACTTAGTTTGTCCAGCAGAGCGCGCTCCATTGTTTGCTACTGGCGACCTGGATGAAACACTTTAAAGCTTAAGTCTATGGAAAACCATTGAAACTTTGAACGGGCATATCTCCGTAACGGTGCGGCAAATCCGCACCAAATTCAGGGGATTCCTTCAGCTCGAGGAACCCTCTCGAACGCGAATCGATTGTACATCTAGAGGCCCGCTTTCGAATGAGACCACTGCCATGTCGATAGCCCCCGGGGTTCGGGAGTTACGGGTGGTTAAATTCACGGTCCGGCGTTGTCTTAGTCAACCATAAGTGCCCTGCGAAGTGGACTTCACATGAAATTCCGCCATGATTTCAGTTCCAAGGGAACGTACACACTACATTCAAAGGGCATTAAAGTGTGCGAGACGTGAATTTATTTTGTATTTATTTACAGAGGTATATTATGTCACTTCTCTAGTAAGTTTCGTCTGTGTGAAGACAGTAGCTCTAGTTAGAATTACAGATATTGTCCTTGGTGTGAAAAGGGTCATTCACTGCTGACAAGATGGGCTCTCAGTAGTCTATGCAGTAGTTTTCTAAAACTGGTGCTCCATGACTAGAGAAAACAGAGAAAAATAGCTGCTGCATGTTCTTTTGACAGAGAATTTTTTTTTTTTAAGTAAATCCGAATAATTCACTTTTGACTCCCAAAGTTAATAGGCCCCACAACTGTGTTGATCTGACTGTCCATGAATAAAAAATATGAAACGCTTGATTTGTAGTTTTAACAAAAGCCCCAAAGCTGTCAAAAGTCCGCCGATGACAAATAAACGGGCTATCTGAGTGCAGGTAACAGAAGGAGTACACATCGTTCACGTACATATACTGACACTCTAATGACGAAAGCTTAAAAATCTGCAAACTTAAACCTTAAGTGTCCAACTACTTTTTGAGGTCATTGCACAAAAGGCACTTAACTCGTTTAATTATTCTTTTAAATTAAACAAAAGCACCTCCTATAGCTATGCTATTATGAATCAATCCTTTTGTTCGCTTTTCTGCATTTTGACTTCTGCACTTAGTCTTGCAACCCAGCCTTGTGGAACTGTGAATTTGATTGACTCCAGTATGATGAATTGCTCGTGATGTTCCTCAATTGTCACTTCGGATTAAAGCATCGGCTAAATGATTAAACGGAACAAAGTAAATGAAAACACACTGTTGTGTGACACCTGAAACATCAAAATCAAACACTTCATCCACACATGCAAATGTTGCACAGTGTTGTGTGTCACATACGCCCAAAACAAAGAGGATTCAATTCTTCTAAACAAGAATCTCCATCTTTGCTGCAGAAAATGCAGCAGTCTTTTATGCATTGGTTCAATCCCTTGTTAAACACATGCAGTTCAGGTCTTGAATCCTCTACTAATGAATCATGGGTGTTAAATATAGGAAATATCGCAAATGTGCAATGCAGTGCCACTCCAGGACCAGGATTAAAAAGAATGAAAGCTTTCTAACCCATGACAGATCACACTAATGCTGCTCAGAGTAACATCACGACAGTTCTTTAGCACAGCCTGATCATAACCCAACAGTGTCATGTTATTTTTGTCAATGTAGTTTGCATCATATCCGTAAACAACGCGCATTCAAGGTGCTTAACACATGCTTATCACGTTACATGGAGATGTATCATTACAATAAATGCAATTGTTTTCAGATTATTATCTAAAGAAGCACACAAACCTCATGATACACATGATCAATTCAGTCGAATACGGGCCCTGATGCAAATTCAGTGCAGCTAACAAGCTAACGTTAACTAATGTCTGTCGCCAAGCGCTACTGCCTCTAGAGCGTGGATTTTAATGTCTGCCGACGCCTTCATTCCTCCACTTTCACGCAGAAAACTCACACAATGTTTGTTTTAGGAAAGGTGTCGTCTGTTAACGGACAGTACCTGTTACCTGTGCTCCTGGACGCCTCCCGTGTCACAACTAACTCTGCGAACGTCACCACGAAACTTAAGAGTCACGTGACATCTGCCCGCCAATCAGCTGGGAGCATCATTGGCAGCATTATAATCGGTGCAGCTAGGCAGCTGTAAGCCAACTGCAACACCACGTGTGCAATTTAAAGTCCAACTTGAAACCAGAAAGCAGGCCGGGATGGGATGGGGTGGAATGTTACAGGACGGGACGGGGCAGGGTAGGATAGGATAAGATAGGGAGACACATTGGAATAAACAAGTGTTAGGATAGACTGGAAATGCCTGAAAACCACATATTAGGAACCTACTAATTAGAGGAAACATGTTGCACAATATATAATTTCCCTTGATTAATCAATTCATCAATAATTTATTAAGGCAAGACACTACAGGTAAATAGGGTAAAACATTTAACTATATTAGGTGATTAATCAAAGTATATTAAGATAATTGTTTTGCATTACCGAGTAAATATTGCACAAATGTCCAGAACAGAAATCTGAACATTGGATAAACCAAGCATTTTGTTGACACGGAGTTAAAAGTAGGGGATTTTGGATCTCCTTTTACCACTCCATAAATCTGAAAATACTGTCAACAGCCAGAAAAAACTAAATCAGCATATTTTATACAAGATGTTATACAAATCAGGCAAATGTTTTATGAACAAACCCTTCTGTATAACCTTTCAGAATAAAGACTGGAAATCTTGGTGTAAGTTCTAGATTACTGAAGAGGAGATTTCAGTACATGAGAAGAAACTCATTTTGAGAAAACAGCCTTTAAAGCCAAGGTATGTATTGTAATCGAAATTTACACAGGCAAATAGATAAGAGTGTAAGAAAATAAACTCTTATATATATATTTACATTTAGTCATTTAGCAGACGCTTTTATACAAAGCGACTTACAAATGAGGACAATTGAAGCAATCAAAATCAACAAAAGAGCAATGATATACAAGTGCTATAACAAGTCTCAGTTTGCTTAACGCAGTACACGTAGCAAGGGTTTATTAAATAATATCATAATTAAAAGAAAGAAAACAGATCGAATAGAAAAAGAATAGAGCAAGCTAGAGTTAGAGGTCTTTTTTTGCTTTTGTTAATTGTATATTAAATGAAAAGAAAACAGATAGAATACAAAAAGATTAGAAAGCTAGAGTTAGTTTTTTTTTTTAATAAAACAAGCAGCAAATGAATAGAGTGCAAGTCTAAAAGGGACAAGTTTTTTTTAAAGAATAGAATATATATATATCTTTTTTTTTTATTCTTTTTTTTTGTTTTGCAGACTGTTATAAAAAGAAGAGGGGATGCCACACAGTGGTAAACATGGCCTTGTCCCAACTTTTTTGAGATGTTGATGCCATGAAATTTAAAATCAACTTATTTCCCCCTTAAAATGATACATTTTCTCAGTTTAATCATTTGATATGTCATCTATGTTGTATTCTGAATAAAATATTGAAATTTGAAACTTCCACATCATTGCATTCTGTTTTTATTCACAATTTGTACAGCGTCCCAACTTTTTTGGAATCGGGTTTGTGTATATATGTGGGTGTATATTTTGGACCTTCATCTGAAAATCCACTAATTTGAAAGATGATAATTTATGGAAGCAAAATAACTAAAAACCTCAAAATTAACCTGCGTGCCTGAAAAAAAAACAAACCTTAATTCATATTTTAAATCTTAATATTTTTTTTAAAAAATATCATTAAATGTAACACAGTAACACTGAATACATGTTTAGTTATAAATTGCTAAATTTTTTTTTTACACTTCTATAGGCCTAGATATACTACAGTGCAGGCTATTAATTATATCAATACCTGTCAAATGGTTTTTATTGGGACGGAGGAAAATAATAAACTAATGTGGAGGGGGAGAGATTTTTTAAATGTATTTTACACACATTATTTTCGACCCTACAGATAAAGACAGCCTCAACAGAAAATTGACTAAAATGTATGGGCTCACCTGAGAGAGTGTGTGTGTGTGTGTGTGTGTGAGATGCAGGCTATTCACTCGTTAGGCGGCGCAACTCTACACTCACTTTTCCTCTGTGTGTAGCAGCAGCACAGTGAGCGCAGGAAGGAGGCAGGGCTGCCTGTCTGACCATCGCAATTTGCTGAATCACACAAACTCTTCCGCATCGTCAAAACTTTGAAGACACATCGTAGTGGATTTCGGTCCGTGCATACACAACGCGACAGTTCCCCGCGGTCAGACAGAGAAGCTGCCCCCTTCCGCGCAACTCTTCATGGCGAAAAGACCTTTCTTTTTCACTTCTGCCTTCTGTCACCTACGGGACCACCGCTCGCGAGACTCAAGCCTTTAAAAGTTTGCCTTTCATGTGAATGTACAGGACTCGTCTGAGAAATGAAGCTCAGCAGGCAGTTCACCGTTTGTGGCAGTGCCATATTCTGTGTTGTGGTATTTTCCTTGTACCTGATGTTGGATCACATAGATCACAGCAAAAACCCGAATGGAGAGAGAATTCAAAACGTGAGTAGGCTACGCTACTCCGGTCTTACATGCTTATCAATAAACGCTGTTACATATAGAGTGCTGTCAGCAGATGTGTGTTTTCTGTGTTCAGACTATAAACGTATAGGCTAATATAAACTCGATGGTGATGTGGTTGATAAAAGACGGTAGTTTGAATGGATAGTTTGCTTCTTTCCAAGTGACATTACACTATTAAAATAATACACAGACACAAAGATGGCTGTGAACAGTCAGTCATTTCCTGCATTTCCTGTTTCTCATATACTCTATCGTGCGTTTTCCATGAAATAACTTAGAATACGACACTGTTGTAAGCAATCAAGAAATCGAATGAAACGAGAGATTCTGCTTAGCTTCGGATAGTGAACTGAACTCAAAGCTCATTTCCTCGTAAGTCCTCTGCAGCGTTCATGTGCTACGTTTCAAAATCCCACCGAGTTAGTTTGACGTTTGACATTCATTAGGCATTCGGGGTTTTTTGCCAATTAAACTCTTTGCAGCGTTTATGTTTTGAGCCCAAACGAACTCAGATAGACATAAATATATGCCCTTTATGTTGCACAAGGCTTCATTTCTAGGAATTAAAAAAATAATAATCAACCATTTAAATTAATTAAACAATTTAATTACGTGACATTATAATATAAAACCAATACTAAAGTGTTCGGGAAAACATACCTGTTATCGCACAAAGCTCCGTTTTTGGAATTACAATTTAATGTTTTTTATAATAATTGTACAACTTTTAATGTATGCAATAGTATGAATCCATTAAACGTTTGATAGCTTTATCTCAAACGGTGTCAGAGTTTAATTAGTTTAAGGTGGGTACAGTATATAAAACATATAAAAAATATGGATTCAGTACTGTATATAAAAACAGTAAAGGCATAATCTGAAAACAAAACAAGCCTTGTGCATCATAGGGAATAATATTCTGAATATTTTACAGTTGGTTTGATAGCTTTATCTCAAACTGTGTCAGAGTTTAATTAATTTAAGTGGGTACAGTATATAAAACATAAAAAATATGGATTCAGTACTGTATATAAAAACAGTAAAGGCATAATCTGAAAAAAACAAGCCTTGTGCATTATAGGGAATAATATTCTGAATATTATACAGTTGGTTTGATACATTTATCTCAAACTGTGTGAGAGTTTAATTAATTTAAGTGGGTACAGTATATAAAACATGACAAATATGGATTCAGTACTGTATATAAAAACAGTAAAAGCATAATCTGAAAAACTACGACTTGTGCATTATAGGGAATAATATTCTGAATA